ATAAACGTCTCAGTTTCTCCGAAACACCCGCAACATACGGAATAACCACTGGTTTGGTTATAATAATAAATATTGGTCTGTGTGGGTGGGCTTAAGATATACGCCAGTTTCCAACCGTCCTCCATCCGAGACATCGCAATCCAGGAACGCCAACCTGCCATTTTTTACATCCTCTCGTGTGAACTTAATATATTCATCCACAGAGTTGATGTGATCAGTGAAATGTTGGACTTCCTGGGCTTTAATTTTAACCCAGGTGTCGTCAACATATCTGAACCAATGGCTCAGAGAAAAAACACATTGCTGTGATAACCTGGTTAATTACAGCAATAAAAATATGTAAAAACAGCTATTTTTACTTGTTATACTGAAAAAACATTTTCTAGTAATAATTTAGACACAATGTTGAATGCATAAATTACAACCGAAATATGTGTTCAATTAAACATAGATCAGAAGGTCCCCTGTGAGGACCGCTAAAGAAGAGACAAGCAGTCCTGGAAGGATCTAATCACACGACCCGAGAACCAACAGTAATTGCAGAAGACCCAGCAGTGACCCAACGTCAGTTATTTAATKGACTTCAAAGAGCTGGAGTAAGATGTTAGGAGATCTTGAAAGAGATGCGAGCAGGAAAAAAAAAGCAATCTCAGCTAATCATTTCAAGCGTGCCCAATCTGATGAAGAGGAGAGTCAGTCAAGTGTGAATAAGTCTAGTCTGAAATACAACAGCAGCCCTTGTCTGTTGCAGTGCCATCAGACAGGGATCTGACCTCAAGCTGATGCAGGGTTGGCGGCTGCAGTCCTGAGGTACTTCTGGCTGAAAAGTTGGACGTGACATTTTTTTTTGTAACATGCCTGTAAAGTTCCATTGAAAATATCTTGCTCCGGGCTGGAAGTACAAATTAAATTATGAGGAAACTATATTTTTAGCCCGTTAACCTTCAGGCCTAACCCGAACTAAAATTAAATTGAACACTTTGGAGTAAATTCACTAAGTAAAGTCATAAATCTGACTTTTTAACTTCAGTAATAATTTTTATAACTATAGTATTTAATTGTTGAAGTTAAAATACACTACGAACATTAACTTTTTTTYCCCCAAAACTGCATATTAAATAAAAGGTAACTTGATTGGCTACAAAGCTGTGGTGTCAGAAGGAAGCTCAGAGCTGATTGGCCAGTTCTAGTCAATCAATTACATGTTCCAAATGTGGGTAAGACATGAGGAGCTTGTCACACATTTTGTGATCTGGGGAGTTTATAGATGAACCCAGTTGGTCAAAAGAGGTGTCAATCAAAAGCAGACAACCAGTCAAATTGTTTGAACAGCCTATTGTGCAAATTAAAGGTCCCTGATAGCGTGGGTCAGGCTATAAAGAGACAGGAAGTAACGACAAATTAGAAATGTACCGCGGTTAAACACATAGTAAAATGAATTTCATTTGGTGAATTCCATTCTTTTTTTTTTT